ATCTCACTGCGCGGGGGTGTGAGGGACGCACCTGCTGTCCCAGCTACTGTGCGACGGGGACTCTGACCGGCACAGACCCCCTGACCCCGGGCACCCACCCCGCCTGCAGCCACAGTGACCTGCCAGCAGGAGGCAGCAGACACGCGCACTTGCACACACACACAAATCCGGCTCCCTGGGAATCTCATTGCGGAGAGGGTGGGGCTGGCACCGAGGGCAGGAAATTCCTTCCCGACCCAGCAGCGAGCGAAATGCCCGGCCCAGAACGCGGCAGCTAATGACAGGGAAACCACTTAGCTCCAGGGACCCCTCCCGCCCCACACCGAGCCAGCTGGTCCCCGCCCTGGGGCCGGGTGGGAGCCAGCGCCCCCTAGATGGGACAGGCCCCGTGCCCCATTTCCTGCCCCCCTGAGCCAGCCAGTCCCTGCCCTGGGGCCGGGTGGGAGCTGGCGCCCCCTAGATGGGACAGGCCCCGTGCCCCATTTCCCTGCCCCCCTGAGCCAGCCAGTCCCTGCCCTGGGGCCGGGTGGGAGCCGGCGCCCCCTAGAGGGGACAGGCCCCTGCCCCATTCCCTTGTTCACCCCCTGTCTCCTCTCTCCGCAGGGCCCCGCAGGCTCCCCGGGTCCCGAGGGGCGTCAGGGCGAGAAGGGCACTAAGGTAAGTGACTCAGACTCCGTGGGCCCCCCCGGGTGGGGTCTCTGCTGGGGAGGTGTCGGGTCACGGATCCCCTGGGGTCAGACCCAGCTCGGAGCTCCCCAGAGACGAGGCGCAGCTGGGTCTGTCCCAGGGCCCAGGGCCCGGGCTGGCAGCTCCCGGTACAGCCAGCCAGGCCGCGTCCCGGCCACGCCAAGGGCTCCTGTCCCATGATGCACTGGGGTCGGTGTGACGGGGAGCCCCAGGATGGTCTCTGACCCCAAAGGGGCGCGGTGACACCAAGGAGCCCCCGCCACAGCTGTGACCGTGTCGCCCATCCCCGAGCTCACCCTGCCCCTCCGTCCCCCAGGGCGAGCCAGGCGCCGTGGGACCTCCGGGCAAGACCGGCCCCGTGGGGCCCCAGGGACCAGCCGGCAAGCAGGGGCCTGACGGGCTGAGAGGCATCCCTGGCTCAGTGGTAAGTAACAGCCAGTGCACGCCAGCAGGATGCCTGGGTCCTGTCCCAGCTCTGCGGGGGAGTGGGGGCTGGTGGGTTAGAG